ATTCATGTTGACTGGATATGCGGGGGAAATGCAGGAACGGTGGACCGGCCCGGGGGTCCAGATGAAAGTGCCGGAATATGCCACATTGTATGAGATCTGCAAACATCCTATCACCATTCTATTGACCCCGAAGCAATAATGGTGCTATACACCAACTGACCGCATGTTTATCGGCACCACTTCACAGCTTCTTGATATCAGCAAGACAGGGCATTATTAAACATCACATAATAGTGAGACCGAGTTTGGAAGACAGCACAAAGCCGCATGCATTCTGTAAGAGAAATCTAGATCATCAAGCTTTTCTTCACCAATCTAAACCCGGGCATCTTCATCGAAATGAAAACAATCGCCTCACCAAACCACCACGAATTCTTCTCAAGGACCACCTATACTCGCACCCGCAATTACCCACCGAACCCAGCCAACATCAGACCAGACCCACATTTGCCACCTGGTAGACCCAAGACCCCCCTACTTGGGATCCGCAACCAGCACATACGGCATGAACGAGCAACCCAAGCTCTTCGCCTCCTTTAACTCATCTCTGGTCTTTCCAGACGGCAGCACGTATCCGAACCAATTCTTCTTCGCGACCGCCATCGTCTTGGCCTTGGTGTGGAACGGGGAGAGGGGAAAGATGCTAGTACCGAGGGAGTGGTTTCTGGAGCTGGCCTTCTGGAGGCGGTACGAAGACGAGTGGTGCGGACTATGACTGATGATGGGGACTTGGCGACGGGATAAGAAGGACTAGAAACTTTAGAGCTTTAGTAGGCTTGTAGATGAGCAGATGAAGCTGAAGTGGGGATGAGATAGAAAAAGATAGCTTGAATTAGACAGAAAGGCTCTTCTTATATCTTGATATATTTAGATATTCAATTCTATTGAACAATAGCATTTGAATATCAATCACACAATATCTGTTTCGTGGTTATTGTGCCGGCGCAGAACAATAATGGTTTTTGGTCGGTGCGCCGTTGAGCGTCGCGGAACTCGGGGTGAACATGGATCTAAAACGCAAAGCTAGGGTCACAATACTAAAAACTACAATAGAAAAGAACAATTAGATTGAAAAATCAAAAATTGAGAAGAATTCAGAGTATCAATCTCCGACAGTAGCCCAAATAACGCCTTCGCTATGCAGTAAATGATGACAATATGACGTGTGAAACATAAGCTACAAATGCACAAGATATTATCAACCATCTGTACGAGATGGAAGATCAACGGTGACTAGACCTCCTTCCATGAACCATCGACTGGCTTTCTTGTCACGCCAGATTCCTGCTGCGACGGCTGAAAGGCTTGATAAGTTTGTTGGCCTGGATAGGCAGCAATTGGAGTTTCATAGGTTTGCTGTCCGGGATAAGTGGCTGCTGGCAACTCGTAGCGACTTGTTTCGTGACTGGGACTCGGATTTGTATAGCTAGGAGAATGAGATCTCGCAGGGTTCGGGATGTAGTTATCATCAATGTATCTGCCAGTGCTGCTTGAATTCCCATAACCATTGTTATACGGGCTTTGGTGTGCTGGACTTCGTGATGGAGCCGGCAGTTCGGCTTGCTGGTTGTAGCCCTGATTTGGCGAACGTCGGCCATACTGTTGGTTTTGGGTGTATCCCGCACCCGCACCGTAGACAGGTGGCGGCGATTGAGAAGGCGAGCCCATCCTGTAATTATCTTGCTGCTGGCCGAACTGCTGGTCCTGAGTGCGTCCCATACCTGCGCCATAAACAGGTGAAATTGATGGGGAAGTCGAGCCCATCCGATAATCGTCTTGCTGCTGACCATACTGTCCAGCTTGGGGAGCCGGGCTGTTGCGAGGGCTGCGCCGAGGGGTGCCACCTACAAAGGAATCGTTTTGATATCCTGGAGGGAACCCGTAGTTGTCATAAGTCGGAGACCGCTGCACAGGAGACCTTGCTGGAGTTCTTCTACCAGCTGCAGCCGCTGCAACGCTTGTCACTGCAGAGCCTGTTACGCTGCCATTACGATCCAAGCGGTCCATTTCCATGTCACCCTGCTTTTCAGGCATGACGACCTCCTCGACTTGCGTGCTCTTCGCATCCTTCCAGCTCGGCATATGCGGCAAGGCATCCTCGTTGACAGGTTTACTAGGCGCATCGAACCGAGCAAATTGTGGTCTCTCCTCGGCTTCAACTCCTCGGTAGGTAGGAGTGGTATGCGAGCGATATTGTTCATTTATCGGATGGGTATTGATTGGGGCGGCCTGCGCCGGTGGGAACGATGGGTATACAGGCGGAGGAGGCGCGCTATTCATGCGTTTGTGTCCCTTTCCACGCCCTGAACCGCAGCAACCAGCGCAGCACCTAAAGCAACAGCAGGCGCACTCGGCTCCGCAGCACATGCATCGCGCGACGCAAATAACAATAGAAAGAATGATTAGGGAGCCAACAATTATAGCGACGATCACGGGCCATCTACGGGCATGTAAGCGGGGGGTTCTCCTCTCTGAATTCTCGAGGCGGTGACTGACTTGCAGTAGGCCTTGTCCATGCACTTGTCCCACGACGATAGCGTGTCTTTGGCATCGCTAAAGGGATCGCGAACTGCGAGAATGGACGGCATTTTGGTAGCTAGAAAGAATGGAATAGCTAGGGAATGTGTATGGCGATAGTCGCCGGTAAGTTATGTAGTGGGCGCGGAGGCAAAATTGAGGAGGCTGTGTCGTTCGTACCGAAGGGCGAGTGGTTGGGGGTGGTGTGCCGGGGATAAAGATAGGTCAAGTAGGAAACGAAGGATGCTGAGTGAGGGCTGGCGGTGCACTCTTGCACATGTCGTGAAATGTGAAAGAGTATCGCAGCGAGAATGAACGACGGGGTTAGATGAGGATGAGCGGTTGCAATGACGATGGACTTGGAGGGCTCTCAGGGTCAACCCATCAAGCTCAAACGCGCCATCCTGCACGGCGGAACGTGCGACCCGTAGCCAAGAGTCGGTAGTGGCTGATGTGCCACGCAATCTGGGGGCATCCATCAACACCAACGGCCGGTTCACCGGCACACTGACTAGACGACGGCAGCGCGTCACATGTCGCGCTTGGTTAGTATCCGGAAGCTTGAACCCTTCTTATGCGTTCACAATATGCGCTTTCCATACTCGTCACCAGTGTCATCACCAAACCATCTGTTCATATCGTCGCCTCATCCAGGATTGCGCATAGGGGCACGCCGAGGCACGTCGCAGCAAGAGCTATCCAGTGCTTACTAGACACATTTTATTGGAGCTCCCTCGTCTCAGAAATCATCGCTGCTGCCGTCCTTTTCTTTCCTGCATTCGGACAGTCAGGTCTTTTCGTGTCATCGGCTTCCGTAGTTTCAGCCGTAGACAGAGAATGCATGGTCGCAAGCCTGACCATGTATGGACATCTTATGTCCCCTCGCCTATTTCCTCTATAATTTCAAAAATTATATGTGTTTTGCACAAGCGATTCTAGTATCTAGTTAAATCGGTTTCCTGGCCTTGTGGCAGCTAATTATTTTGCTATTTTAAATAAAATTTTGTTTATTACAATCTTTTGGCAGTAGAACTCAATGTGAAGCGTCCGTTGCCTCCGCAGTCAGAGCATTCGCTATGTCAGGAAAATACTACATCATTCTAGCAAATGAACCTCCTCAAGCCTCATCTCCGGTAAACAAAGATAGGACACAACAAATAGACTCTGCGTCGCGGATGCCAACGTAGATCGAATGCGGACAGATCCGGATCCAGAACTAGCTAAGATTTCTCGAGAATTATACAGGTTTACGAGTGAGTCCCTTGCAACCGAGTTGCAATGGTCCAAGTGCACTAGCGGACGCCCGTGGTCGCGAAAAGTGATCTGCAGTCTGGGCATGTTGCTATTGCTGATGCTGATGCTGATGCTGAACTTCAGGGGAACGGTCCCTATGGTGAAAAATGCTCAGGGTCCGTATCAGTAACCGCTGAGTTATATTCTCTTGGCCTATGAAACTCGGCACGCATCCATTACGTTCAATTTTACAGCTTTTGCACATAACTGTACCAGCATGTAAGCTAAATGTACGACCGGATCATTAATTCCATCACACAACCGAGCAGAAGGAGATCATCAAGCTCGCCGAGCTAGCACTGCAGGTCCAGAGAGAATGGAGGTGACAGAATGCCGACTCTTATCAACAAAATCATGGTTGACGTTGGCCCACCCAAATTAAGACGTTCTTCCTTGCTGACGAATATGTGCACAGAGCAGAAATTCAACAGGATACTACCACTCATACGCTGAGATATTCATTACTGCATGCAAAAGCTACTCTACCGAATACTGGCGGGTACATTACCAAGGGTCTATGAAGCATCAATGTACGAGCACTAAAAGGCGACGGGGGCGTAGGCATTTGCTGTAAAGAACGATGCCTTGAGCTATGATATCTCGCTCACTAAGCTCGATCGGATCTGACATAAAAATACAACCGGCACTTTTGCGCGTAAAACCATGCATGCCCTTGGTTCAATAATAAAAACCCTCAATCTTAGCTATGTCGACCAAGCTGAAGCATCTGGCGTACGACCTTGCTCCTTGAGGGACGTAGAAATGCGGGCGGAGGACGATTCTCGCAAGAAAGGAGGAATACAACTGAAGACCTTGAAACCGCCCCATGCATCCAACTAGTGCAATATTTCGATCAGCAAAATACCTCTTCACAAATACCGTGAATTGACGCCATACCGGCTGCAAAATACGACGTGAAATATATCATATACATATCCAGGGCCTTCCTACATCTCCGAAACAATCCTAGTATTATCCCCTCCATCCTACTACTCCCACCGCCAAAATAAAATTATCCCTATATAATAAATCCCGCCCCGCACCCATCCCCCTCCAAGCGAGGAAAAAAAAAAAGGAATCCTCCCAACCACCCCACTCCACACCTCACACCTCTTACAATGCCTACATACAACCGTTAAGTCCAGAGCAGAACAGCGGACCAAAAACTAGCAAAAGAACAAGTAAAAATCCGCCCGATCTGGGGCTCGAACCCAGAACCTTGAGATTAAAAGTCTCACGCGCTAACCAATTGTGCCAACCGGGCTTTTTCAAACTTAATTATAGACTTCGGCTAGTTTTACTGCATAATAAGCGCATAATCTGCCTGCAAGAACATTGACAAGAACAATAGAGGGTTTGTGATGAGGAGAAAAGGTTTGAAAGGCTGGGGTAGTGGGGCTGTAGAGGCAAGCGAAGGGTGGATTAGATTGGTGGCAAGTGTCCGGGATAGGTAAGGGGCTGAGGTGGAGTGGGTGTCTGAGGCACGAACGCGGTTTAGGTTAAGACTTAACCATCGTTCAGTCAGCAGACTTAGGTGGAGTCCAAGTCTAATGATACTCACTACAGATTCTCCAGTCCAAGAACATAAGAGTAGAGTATTGCATTTCCTCTGTGAAAGAAACGTCTCCATCGTGGTCCAAATAATTCAACATCATTGAACGCATTAGATATTCCGGGGGCCATGGCCCTTCGCCGCCGTCTCCCACAATCAAGTATCATGTAAGATAGAAAGAAAAAAAAAAAGTCAACTCATAGCAGCAAGTTTTCACGATAGATTCTACATCTACCAAAATCCATGTATCCAAAGTCACACAAGAAAAAAAAGATCCCCAAAGGATGCACAAGACATTTCCAAGCCCCATCCAGTCCGTACGAATCCCCAAAACTATACATAATTCTTCCCCTATGCATACCCCCGAGACACCCTCTATGCCGCATCATCTACCACCCGTCCAGCAACAAGAGCAATCAGCGCTGCACCCACGCCCGAACCATCTTTAGCAATGCCGATTCTAACGCGCTTCTCTCCCGCCTCGCCAATCTCGGGTATCTCCCTCAACGCTTCCCGAATATAGTCTTCAAAGTTGGGATAGAACTCTACTAAAGACCCATCGGCACCGATATCAATCACGTCCTCCTCTGCAACGTCTCCTCTGCCGCTAGACTCGACATCGCCTCGCGGAGGGTTAACGTCCGCCTTCTTCTCCGTGGTCGCAGCCGCCCCGGGCGTCTTTTCTAAACGCCCAGAATCGATGACGATGGCCGCGATGGCGACGGCAGAGAGGCGCGCCGCGCGTTTAGCAATGGCTCCGGCAATCTCCTTGACGGCCTCCGCGTCCTCAGCACTGACGGCCGAGATCATGTAGTCTCTATCCAGCGTCTGTCTGATTTGCTTGTAGCCAGGGCTATTGTCGCTAGCGCAGATGCTCAAGAAGCTGGTGTCGATCCCCCACTGCCTGAAGAGCGGACTGCCTTCATGGATCTGTGTCGTGCTGTGGATATCATTCGTTCCCGAGTTTTCGTCCCTGAAGAGAGGAACATTGGGATCCTCGAGAAGCGTAACGAGAGCCAGTCGGAGGATCTCGCCAAGAAACATGCCAGACACACGCTTTTCAAACATCTGGATGCCCGGATTGACAGACTTTGCATCGAGTTCAATGTCATATGACGTATTCGGCAGAGTGCGGAGTGAGTTATCAAAGGAGCCCCATTCCGTATTGACAACCATTTCACCAGTAGACTTGTCGTACGCGCCGGCATCCTTGTTCTTTATGAGCTTCGCGACCTTATTCAATTTCTCAACGTACGCTCCGTTGGTTCCAGTACCGAAGATGGCGCCCAGTAGAGTGCCCGTTTTCCCAGGAGACTGGTACGACCGAGCCATTAGTGTTCCTACAGTATCATTCACCAATGCGGCAACCCTGACGGGCAGATGGAGGGCGTCAATCTCTGCCTGGAGCAGCGCGCAAACGTCCTTACCTACAGCATCCGGGATATCAAAGCCTTTAGTCCATCGCATGAGCATGCCCTTGTTGATGCCGACCTGATTCACCGGGAAGGAGAAGGTAAAGCCGAGGCTGAATATCTCCTCCTCCTTGATGGCGTCCCCCGTCTGTCGGCGCCGAAGATGCCCCGCATAGTGGTCCTCATGGTGGGTCTTAAGGAAAGCTTCAATTTGCTTCGCGAGGAATGAGAAGAGCTCCTTGGATGTCTTTGCAACCATGAGCTCGCGCGGAATGGCGACTTTGCTTTGGGTCAACGAGAAGGTGGTGTTTCCGTGCAATCGGACGGAGCAGACGCGGAAGTTGGTGCCGCCCAGGTCGACGGACATGTAGAGGCCCTGCCATGGGTTAGAATTGCGATGGCTACACCAAACGCATGTATCCAGGCCGCACCTTCTCCGTTCCGTTCGGGACAGCAGTGACGTAGGTGGGGATTTGGCTCAACTCAGTGCCCTCCCTCTGGAGGCCCTCGTCTGCGCTCGGTCAGTACTCAATTGTGTGGTACAGATACAGAGATCTCTGCCGAACGCACCCATCTCCCGCATGAACTCCTTGACGGCCTTGTTGACGCCATCGGCGTCGAATTCGAACTCTGCGGCGACCCGCTTGGCCTGCTCTGCCAAAGCCATGCTGCGCTCGGTGTGTGCGTAGAAGGTGCTGGGGGAATTGCGTGACTGTTTATTCTGCTCGGGGTTCGGGCAGGTCGGCGGGGTGTTGACGGTCGTGAAGACGATGGGACTACGGAGGGTGATGCCAGGCGATGTAACGTGCCAATGCTGCTTTGACGTGAAGTACGGCAGGACCTCGCGAGGGAGGCGCGGGGCTAGGAGGGCGAGAACCAGCACAATGAAGGCCGCGCTGAAGAAGTGGGCGGAGCAGAGGCGTAAACGCAGCGTGTCACGATGTCTCTGCGGGCTGGGGATGCAGTTGGCCTTGTTTGGGTGCGCACTGCGTCCCCGCCAACTGCTCGCCGGAGTGGAGCTCAACGTGGTGGTGGTGAAGGGGGGTCAGGGTCCCCCGCTTTGCCGTATGGTTGACCTATCGAGGGGCTCGCAGCCTCCGTGGCAGACGAGAATACTATCCAACAAACACTCTATCGGGCTGCGGCTACCAGGGTCCAGCCAGATCTTGGGCTTCAATTCGCGCATGGAGGACTGAGGGCGCTGCACACAGCGACTGGAAGGATGGGATGGGGCATCGCGGCGTGACTGTCTAGTGCGCCGCCCCCTTGGGCTAGAAGTCCGACGCGAGAGCAGTTGAAACGGGAGGGGCTGCAAATTTGCAAAGGACAGCATCGTACGCCCGTCTTGGGTCCTGGGGGCGCCTGGCAAACCGGCCTAGCCTAGCCCAGCCCAGCCGCAGCCGTCGCCATCGAGAAAAGGCCATTGCGCTGCTCCGCAGACAATCATTACGTCGGCGGCTGACTTTCCCCTAACGCTGGGCCCATGCCGATCTGCCGGGTGCGAATCACGATCCAGTGCCGCCATCCCGTGTCCCACCTACTACTACTACTACTACTACTACTACTACTACTACTACTACTACTACTACTACTACTGCTGCTGCTGCTGCTGCTACTGCTACTGCTACTGCTACTGCTACTACTTCTCTCGAGGACCTAGACAAAAGACCATCGTATAGGAGCACACTTCGCATCTTGAATGTGCACACATGTGCATGGATAGTACGCGTCACCAGAATCATATATATATAGCAGAGACAAGCCGTGTGTACGCCCTGCAATGAACGCTTCTTTTACTCCCACCAAACTATGTATGCTCCGCTACAGGATGCCCTCCGCTGTTCTTCCTCTTGCAGCCTCGCTCTCGCCCGCTTGCATTTCCTATAGTCCTACTTTTCGTTGCCTGTTCAAAAATGATAGTACACGCTGTCAGTCGCCGAACTAATACAGCACTCGCGAAGAATTGCCTCCACGGCATCAAGTGTCCCAAAGCCAAAAGACATGTGCATGTATCGAAAATCCTAACAGGAACAGAACCCAAACCCCACTGTGCAGCCCATGCAAAACATGATTAGCGGGCGCCAGCCTGTGAAGCAAGGAGACGTCGCCGTGGGAACGTCTACAATATATACGATAAGACCAAAGAAAAAAGAAAACCCGAATGAAACAACCTTGCGCTAAGGTCGGCGTGTATACGTGCAAATGTCCTCCCTGACCCGCCCCTCTAATGTGCATCATTAATTACTCGCCGAACGAGCCCGAATAAGAGTCCGCTGGCAGTTCATAATATCCCTCGACCCCAAATTCCCGGCAAGTCGCGCTGTGTAAAAGTCCCGTGCCTAATCGTGTTCCAGAAGCGAAGTTGAGTAGGAGAGCCGTGGATGGATAGCTGCCGTCAACGGCAGGTAAGAAGCCGGGGAAAACTATGTCTGTTATGGCGCGGAATCGACAGCTTTTGAACCCAGTAGATAAGTCGTCAATGTGTCGCCCCAATCGAAAACGGTGTGGATGCAAACTCCCAACATACTCCAATTCAATGCCGCAGATGCGAAATGAAACAAATATCTTCTATTAACGAACGCCGATGGGAGGACGAGGTCCTAGGCTACTCTGGCTGCTGTGCGCAGAGTTTTCAGAATCTAGTTGAGCGCTGGCGCCACTGCTACCACTCCCCGCGCTAGCGCTCGCACTTCCAGTCAGACTGCGATTTTGAGGACGAGACTTGGGCGGGTAAAGATTGCTCACCCCAGCGTGTTGCTCAACTTGTTGTGGCGCAACTGCGTTTCCGTGTCCTGGCGGATGTCGCGGAACGGGCTGCCTCATCCCGGGAGGGGACGGACGTCCATTGAGCGATGGCATTCCATTCGGCGGATAGCCATTGGGAGGCGATGGTCGTCCCATGGGCCTAGGACCAGGGCTAAGAGGATTGCCGGGCGATTGACTCGCCCTACGGCTCATCGGAGGGTACGCGCCGTAAGGACCACCTTGTTGGAGCTCATCCAGGCGGGCTGCAGTTAGTGAATTAGCTCGTGATTGTTGTCCCATCTCTCCACGGTCGACGTTGCCATATCGGTTCGAGGAGTAGCCCAACAGAGGATTGTTCATGATAGAGTCATGAAGTCCAGGAACATCGGCCATCATCCTCGCACTAGTCCGATTCTTGTTCAAACCAGGGCGGGAAAATGGGTTCCTGGACCTCCCGCCTCCCATGGGTCCCATTCCTGCCATTTCGGGATTTTTACGGATCTGACTAGCACTGGGCACTTTGCGATTGCGACGCGACGTTACACTCATCATGTC